TCCACTGTAATAAAATATATATCACTCTGAACACAGAGTGAAGGCAGTATGATTCCCTATGGCAGTTATCACAATGTTTAACAGTCACAATTTTCAGTTACAGCACTGAAATTGACGCTATTTAGGATTCATAGATCTCTCGCAGTAACAAGTCCGACTGAGACATTTCTGTTCACTATTAAATGTTGTCTCTCAGAAAACAATGTAATATTAAATACATTTGAATCTCACAAATAAGATGGTGGGTGAGCGTCAACAGGGGTATCACACATGATGATGGGAAACAGTACATCGAGGTCGGGGGAACCTCTCACGCTGAAGCTCACCTATAGGTGACACAAGAAAACAACTTTAACAGACCGATCCGCTGAAAATCCAAAACAAATGTAAGGCAAGGCAAGGCAAGTTTATTTATATAGCACCTTTCAACACAAGGCAATTCAAAGTGCTTTACAAAAATGAAAGCCATTAAGAAAATGGCATTTAAAAACAGTCATTAAAAAGCAAAGATAATAAAATAAACATTAAAAGAAAAAATACATGGATAAAAGTTACAGTGCAGTTTAAGATATGAATAGTTCAATTAAAAGCAACGGCAAAAAGAAAAGTCTTCAGCCTGGATTTAAAAGTAGTAAGAGTTGAGCAGACCTGCAGGTTTCTGGGAGTTTGTTCCAGATATTTGGAGCATAATAACTGAACGCGGCTTCTCCATGTTTAGTTCTGACTGGGGACAGAAAGCTGACCAGTCCCAGAAGACCTGAGAGTTCTGGATGGTTCATAATTTAGCAGTAGGGCAGAAATGTATTTTGGGCCTAAACCATTCAAAGCTTTATAAACCAGCAGCAGTATTTTGAAATCAAGTCTTTGACACACAGGAAGCCAGTCTAAAGACTTCAGAACTAAAGTGATGTGATCCACTTTCTTAGTGTTAGTGAGTACTCGAGCAGCGGCTTTCTGAATAGATTTTTTAGTGAGACCTGTGAAGACACCATTACAGTAGTCGAGTCTACTGAAGATAAAAGTATGGACAACTTTTTCCAAATCCTGCTGTGACATTAGTCTTTTAATCCTAGATATATTCTTAAGGTTATAGTAGGCTGATTTAGTAACTGTTTTAATGTGACTGTTGAAACTCTGGTCAGAGTCCATGACTACACCTAGATTTCTGGCTTTATCTGTTGTTTTGAACATTGAATCTCAGCGCTAACTTTTATACGTTCTGCCTTGGCTCCAAAAACCATTACCTCAGTTTTATCTTTGTTTAATTGGAGAAAGTTCTGACACATCCAATCATTGATTTGTTCAATGCACTTACTCAGTGTTTGAATTGGAGCATAGTCTCCTGGTGAAATGGTTATGTAAATTGGTATTTCATCCGCATAGCTATGGTAACTTATTTTGTTGTTTTTCATTATCTGAGCCAGTGGTAGCATGTAGATGTTAAAGAGAAGAGTCCCCAAGATGCTAATACAACCTATATATCTGTCATCGTTACCAACCTCAATCAAGTATTCAACATCAATGATGCTGCAGTTAGAGATGGTGAGGGATGCAGAAGAGGGAATAGTGAGCTCAATCACAGTGCGACGGTCAGAGATGCGTTCACTGACGAGCTGTCCAGTCGAGGACATCAATTTCTTGACATACATCCTCCTGTGGTTCTGGTTGTGGGTGTAGAAAACCTGTTTCTGTTGCAGTGACACCTTTGGAGTGGCTGTTCGAGATGAACCATTAATAAACTCGCAAATGATCTTCACAGTTTCACCTGGAAGAAGAACAGACAGTGTTTGGTTGTGATGTTTTTAGCCAGCAGTTTTTATAAACTATATTGATTGTTAAATTATAATAATGTGTTGATGGAAACACTACCAGGCATGAAGCCTTTCTTCTCTATACTGGCTGTCATCTCGATAGGACCAGAGGTACACCAAATGCAGCACACTGTCATGCTGTTGGAGCCCGAGAGAGGAGCCTGCAGAGAAACAGCATTAGCATGCATGAGCAATGAACATGATAATAAAAAGAAGAAGAAAAAAAGAAGAGGACACAGAGAAAAGGTCAATAGATATAAATGCATACCCTTATAAGTACCATGTACAAATAAGTCAACCTGAGCAGTTCAGGCAAGCATACTTAACCCTAACACTAGCAGGAATTTATACAATAAGTGGGTTGATGGACCTCAGTCAAGTTGCAACATTAGAAGATCACCAAAAAGTGGGGTGGTAGTGGCTCAGTCTGTAGGGGATTGCCCCTGGGATCAAAGGGTAGCCGGTTCGAGTCCCGATTGACCAAAAATATGTTGGCCCTCTCCAGATGCATGTGCATGTGTATAACTGTGTGTGTATTGCATGTGCATGTGTGCACCATCCTGTATACAGTGTGTGTGTGTATTTAATTAAAATATACAAGCCAGAGTGATAAACTGAATTTCCCCCTGAAGTTTGTGGGGATTAATCAAGGTTCATCTTCTTCTTAAAAGTGGGGCACTGATGAGAAGGCCAGTGTGTCAAATTGTAGTTTAAGCAATATTGGAATTTTACAATAGTGGAAGAATATTTCTCAAGCAATGTCCTAAGCACTCCACTACGTCTTGCAGCTGTATACACTTTACAGAATACAAATACAAAACCATCCCTGTCCAGTGAAAACCACGCATTTCCGAATATGGTGATTCCTGTTAATATCCTCATGCTAAATAAATTATTAAAACAGTATCTCAAACCAGATATGGTTTTTTACATGTTTTTACTGGAGCCCCCTGTCAGGTTAACATGATCATGGATTACTTACATGCAGCTCTGGCTGGTTGGTATTAATCCGGTTTACAAAATTACACTCTGTCACAAAGTCTTTGGACATATGCCAGGGTCTGTGGACGGCCACTGTCAAGTTGTACGTTATGTGTCCATAAACCCCATGGAAGCTGGATGGGAAGTTCCTGCATTAATATAAAATAACAATAAAAAAGAGGAAATAATGAGAAATTATGCAATGTAGAAACAAGACACATTTAAAATGAATAGTTACAATCTCAGATGTTAAAGATAACAATTCCAAATTATCTAAATCACATGGTAGACAACAATATTATTAGGTTTAGATACCAGTCAATAAATGTATTTCAATCTAAACCACCGTGTGAACCCAAAGATTATCTGTAAAAAACAGAAGGACAAAGTCACGTGATCAGACACACCCTTGCGGGACCTGGCATGTAAACGGGTATACATGCGTGCCAGCCTTGAAAATTGCAGCCCCACCGGTAGCTGCAAGGAGAAAACAAACAAGAGTGACTTTACTGAACAATGACTAGTTGTATGAAATGTTGACATGCATCCAAAAGGCGTTCATGTGCGCCTACCACTGTTTTGTTGCACGATGACACTTTTTAGGTCAAAGAAGTCCAGTTTTGCGGAATAGTGTCTCCGATTTTTTCCACCTCCGGTGGACCAGTGCACATTTGCCTTTCCTGTCAGTGTCATCGTTATAGAACTGATCTTCATTTTCTTTGTGAGGTCAAATGAGATGTGTCCTGTCATCATATCGCCACTGGAGAACGTATTCCTCTGATTTAAAGCGTTGAAATTGATTTTGAAGTTCTTCACCGTGTCTTGAAACATGGTTCAGAGTAGACCGGAGTTAAAAAAAAGTAAAACAAAAACAGTCTCCTGAACAAGGATGATCTCCAAAAGTTTCCCTGTAGTTAACGTATATTTGGTTCGTAGAAAGGATTTCACAATCACCGATTTAAGAGTTAATTCGCAAACCAAAGCCACAGACAGTTGGCATCAACAATAACATTGCATTCAACAAACTGCGCAGGCGCACAACATGCAGCAGGGAAGCCCATCCCTGTTATCGGGTGGGAATACCATGGGGGAGGACCATGGATGTGGAGGACTGAGGAAGTGACAAAAGTAGCTTAGGAACCTTCCTAACGGAGTGAAATGACCCGGAAGTCCCTCAGTGGCAGCCATGATAAGTGCCGTTCGAATTCTCTAAATTAAAAGGAAAGGAGGTTTCAAACTTCCTTTATAACCTCCTTTAGCTTAGGAACCACTGGACCTCCCTAACCGAAAGGAAAGGAGAAAATGCTGCCCCACAATGCCTTGCGGCCGCGGCATTTGCCGTCACACAACAGTCGGCCGTTCATGGAAACAATCAATTATGAACGAGAAATGATATCATGAAAGTTACGGTTCAAAACGTATGTGGTAAGTTGCCAAAGTGCTTTGTTTTGAACGTTCATCAGTATTATAATCAAAAAGAGAAATATGAACGTTAGTTTTTACTGAAATGATCAAATAAAGTCAACATTTCAGTCTTTACTAAGCTGTGTGGGGTTTGTTCAACTTTTAAAAAGATGTTTGAATGGTGATATACACAGTGATAGATGTTAAGGACTAACGTTTATAATAAATACATTTGTATTGCTTTTAAGATCTTTTCATAGTTCATACAATCATACGTATTGGGATCATTTGTATTAATGTGGACCGGAGGGAGAGGGTGACGAGCATAAGTTTCACTTTCCTTTTTTATTTCAATTCCAACTTTGGTCATGAAGAATATGTTTCTCTGTTGTCCCCGTTCATAAAGCATAACAGCATCAGAGCACGGTGCAGAGTCTCTAGATGAGTTTACAGTAGTCCCTCGTTCTTATTAAACATCCCTGTTGTAGTCCGCTGTATAGAAAACTGTAGTTTCCATAGTTTCCCCACAGCAGCAGACGCACATTTATGACGTCCGCTGGCGCATCATAAACACGTCGGATAGTGAAAGTGCAGTCGGATTCTCTAAAGTACCGCAGTCTCTTCTCCTAAATCCTTTTGAATTCTCCTATCCACTATCCCTTAACCCCATGACGTTTCACTCCGAGGTCAAGGAATAGACGATAGGGTTAGAATTTAGGAGCTGTTTTTTTGGAGTATTCGACCGCAACCCGAGCTGTCCGACTTCAGGCGAGCTTTTTGAGACCTCCCCCGGCTGCAATCGGCTATTCTCGTCTACTTTCGAGGCGAGCCGCAGCTCGTCTCAAACAAGCCTAATAATCGCAGAGAATGCGTCTCAGGTTTCAAGATATTTTTATAACAGTGGGTTAGTCATTGGAAATACAAATATTGCATCTTAGGCTATAAACGTACATTAAATATCAAATAAAGTAATATTTCAATGTTCTTTTCCAAAGTGATTTTAATGGTTATAGAAGACATTCTATTTCGCAAAATCAAGTGCATTAGGGTTAGGGTTAGTTATTATGTATTCACATTATTGGCAAAGTTGTGCTTTATTTACCTTTGCAAAAAGTCAGATACAATAATAATCTTATGTAACTTGTTTTGATGTCTAGCTCTTCAAACATATTGTAACAAACAGCACTATGTGTCCCTATACTTTCTAAAAATAAAAACTCGTAATAACACAAAAAGAACACATTAGAAATAACGAATACTGGAAGGAGAAGAATGTAATTTGCTTTAGTAAAATTAGGAATTATTTACAAATGTTCACGGTATTGGCGGAAGAAAGCCTGTGTTTTATTTTGAAGGGTGGGTTTCCCAGGTTTCCGGTTTTAGTATTACTTTATGCAACGGACCTACAGGACAGACTGTTATCAAACTGAGTCCTGCGGGTATGTCACTCTCTTCTTATTCCGGGTTTATACTTATTCCAGTTTCGTGTGTTTTCGAGTGTTTTGCACAACAATGCTCGCTAACTTAGATTAATATTGTCAGGCTAACAGTAGCACATTAAAGCTGGCAGGCAGACAAAGCTACCAGCTAGCTCAGGTATCAGAACAAAGTGTCCATACTGGAAACTCAATGACCCTGTTTCATCTAAATGTAACAGTTTGTCATGATTCATGTGCAAAGAGCATCAACCTGTGCCGGTGGTGTAGCTAAACAAAAATAATTAAGTTAGGTTTTTTTAATGTGCTTATAATTATGTATAAAAACAACTTGTATTGGGTTAATACACCCCCATGAACAAAGCATAAAGTGAATGACAAGTTTGAAGTGTTAGCACTAGAGCTGTGAGATGTCGTTAAAGTCTTTGTATATTATGTCCTTAACCAAAGTTATTTCACTCCCCTCTTCCCCTGTAGTTGTCATAGTCAGATCACGTGTGGACAGATGAGGGGAAGCTGCTGACAGCATCATTTTCAATGGGAGCAGCACACTGAAAGGCAAAGAAAGGAAAACTCTCTATATCAATGTTAAACCCTTTTCCCACCAACAGTATTTATCCTCGTTTTGAAATCTACTTTATCAACATGGTTGGGTTGTCAAACAGTCCATATCATTATTTCATCAACACGCCGCAGCCATCCTGTTTAATGGCTCTGTGTTGAAGCCACATTTTCTCACTGATATTTACACTGTGCTATGATCCAGGATTATGTCCAACTTTAATGTGACAAAAATGAAATCTACCTCTATACAAACAAATATTTATGTGGTAACTGCTTAACAATATAAAGAAAAAAGATCTGCCATTTTTAAGCTCACTGCTTTCAGTGTTTTTTTGGCCCTTAAGAGCAATTGTTCTTAATAAATGTTAACTTCAGAGTTATAAACACCACATTATCTCCTCCCAACACGAGTAGAGTTTACAGTTTGAATTAGCAAAGTCCAACATTGATAAACTTGAAAGTCTGCCAACTAAGTATTTTTAATTTTGGTTTTAAATAACTCCCTGCTTTACTGCTCTGTGTATAATTTGTTGACATCTGTCCTCTGTGCACAGGTCTTCAGTGTAGAACCTCAGACATTTCCCATCATGCAACTGGAGGCTAAGCTGCGTCTATGTCAGAGTTGTCTTTGGTGCTACAAGAGCGGGCTGCGTCTGCTCTCCCAGAGCTATGCTCACAGGTAGACTTTGTGTATAGTATATGTACATGTATATAGAACATATAGTATGTATAGTATATGTGTATAGGAGAGTTAAGCAGCATTTAGTTTCTATAGTCCTCTCCAATCATCTGTTAACACCTTTAAATACAATCTTAAACATATGTTTTACTTATCATTCTCTTCGTCTTAATTCACTAAAGTATATTTTAAAATGTTACCCAACATCTTTTACTGTGGTATGTTGATTGTATTGTTGTAATTGTACTGTTTTGTAAAGTATTTTTTATTGTTACTTTTGACAACTTGTGCTGTATAAATGAATACAGTTTAACATGCCTTTGTGTCTGTTTTGTTGAATCAGAACCACTGAAAACAATTTAGTGATTGTGTTAAAGGACACATGTCATGCTTTTCCGGTTATTACCCGTCCCCTTGTGTGTTATGAAGGTTTTTATGCATGTAAACGGTGTGCAGAGTCAAAACCCTCAAAGTACACCCTGTAGCGAGAAAATACCTCCCCAAAACGCCTCGTAGGAGATACGTCATTGTCCATTTGATTCTTCCAGGTACGGGATGATGTAATGGAACGAAATGGACCAATCCGTGGAGCCGTTACGTTACGTGTGCGGAGCCGTTACGTTAAACCCCCGCTGATTGGTCCAAATTGACCAATCCACAGACTTCCTCACACACAGGCAGCTCTGCTGATTTCTCCTCCCTGGCTGCAGGCTGATAACAGACAGTTGGGATCGCGGCGAAATTCTCTCTGCAGACCCATTCTCACAGCGTTTATCAACCTTTTTCTTACTCAATATCAAGCCACACTTATAGTTTTTACTTCGGCTGTGAGTTTGTGTGTGCTCAGGATGAGTTTGGCTGTGTTTCGCTATGTATCCTAAACAAGGAAACAACACCTCCACGGAGCTCAGCGCGATTCACAACGTCCCGACCAATCAGAGCACACTGTGCTCACAGGGAGGGTGGGGGCTGGAGCTATTGGAGCTACAACGCGCCGTTAAAGGCAGAGAGTGAAATTCAGTGAATACACGTAGTTTACAGAGATGCTGTATGAGAAACCAATGTGAGTTTGGAAAATTGCACAATATAAATCTATTCTAGTAGACCTCAACAATGGAATTATGATCAGTGGAAATGGCCATGACATGTCTCCTTTAAGGCGCTCTGCTTTGTATTTGGTTGGTAATGAGTTTTTGCTTTCTCAACCCCAGAAAAGCTGTGAACTACTACGATCTACTCGACGTCAAATCTGATGCCTCCTTGGAGGAAATAAAAAATGCATTTTTCAACAAATCTAAAAAGGTAAGGTCCTCATTTGTTAACAAGCTCTTCATTAGAGAACATTTCCAGCCACATGAGGGCAGCCTTTCCACAGACTAACTTTTATTTGAACTGTTCCCACAGAAAGCTTCCTGACTATTTGTTTTCATGTTATTGCTCCCAGTGTAAATAAGGATGTGCATGTGTATTTACCTTGCGGCTCTGTCATAATTGAGCGTAGAGATAAGTTCACCGTTAGACAAAAAAAGCATGGTTGAATACATTTGTTTAACAGAAAAAAGTGTGTGTCTAAAATGCAAGAAAACATGTTCAGATGTGTAAATGTCTACATGTGTGAGAATATATCCCTGGCTTAATGTTTGGTTTGGTCCCTGGACCTCATTACTGTAACGCTCTCCTTGCAGCTTCACCCAGACAGCGACCTCTCCAACCCGGCGCTGCACGGCCAGTTTGTGGAGCTGAACGAAGCGTACCGAGTGCTGAGCAAAGGGCTGAGCAGGAAGGAGTATGACATCAAAATCAGGCATCCGTACAGTGGAGGCCAGGTCTTCAGATCCACCGCCAGCTACACCAGCTACAGAGCCAGGTGGAGACACACACAACCTGTCAGTTAGTGCTTGCTAATGAGTCTCACGTCACCTGACCTTCTTCCTCACTCTCTATCAATGTTAATGTGAGGGGAAAAGTTTGGATGATGTCCTTTTGCGGCAATATGTCATTCAGTTTAACTTTCAAAATAAGGCCCTGTGGTGTATTATTTCTTAGCTGTCATGCTCTCATAGTACAGTCTAATATTGTAAAGACTGAACAACTGAGACCTTGCGTGTTGCAGCTACACTGAAGACTACATCATTTTACTTTCTAACAGAAGGAAAACACCCCCTGCAACCATTTACCTGAAATAATGATTTATTTCAAAACAAATTCTGATGCGAGAGGTTTTGTTCAAATGTGTGCACAACACTAGAAACAAGGCATCACATGTTCTCTGTGTACAAGGCATTAACCAGTCTTCAGCTAATTATGATTTTGGGTTGCTGTGTATTTTGTTGTTCTTTTATACCTGGATTAAATCCTAGATTTCACTCTTTATTGTTCCTAGTTCTTCCTTTTTTAAACAGAAATTCAGTGAGAGTTTCTCAATCGCAAAACCAAGTAGAACAATTTGAATTAGAAAAAGTTTCTTGTTCATGACATTTTAATGGAGCTGTACTACTTAAATGTCCCCTACTGTGTTTCATCAATATATTATAGGTCTCAGATATATACAAAATATATATATGGTTGGCTTATGGTTACACAAGCCAAAAAAACGTTATGACATCATAAAGTGGCCAAAATCTGATCAGCTCATTTTCAGACAGGTTTTTATATAAATGGATCAGGACAAAAAGTGAGAGAATCTTTTTTCCTGAAACTTTCAGAATCTCTTTACACAGAGGGGGGGACACATGTTGATGTATAAAAGACACGAAAAAGTGGATTTTGCATAATAGGTGACCTTTAAGAGTCCCCCACACTTCTTAACACTTTAGTTCTGACTGTTTTTACAGTTCTACAACCTGTTCTATCTCCTGTTTTTGATTTCACCAATCATGATCCTTTTTCAACTTCTCATCCTTCAGTGCGGAACACCAGGATAACTCTCATTACTGGAACCAGTTCCGTCAGGCTCGAGCACAGGAGACGCCGGGAGAGGAGTGGCAGAAGAAGAGGAGGAGGAACTTCCAGCTGGTGGGATACTGCTTCCTCACCATGCTGCTCGGCATCGGAGTCCACCTGATCTTCTTCAGGTACACAACCAGCACACAATAGAGACACTTTACAAATATCAATGTAAGCAAGATTGAAATGATGTAACATTGGACCTAATTCACCAACTGTTCCTAAGAAAATAATTATTCGAAAAACGATTTTGACATTCAAATCCTTGTTTTCTTATGTATGATAAGAACTGAATCTAAGCTCACTAAATAGCCTTGTTTCACACATTTGGTTACTGACATGTTTGTAAAAAAAATATTTTTTATTGCATTTTCTTCAATTGTACAGTTTTTAAATTACATTAATATTTGTATCATTTATTTACAACATTAATTGTTATTTTTACTGTATTATGGTATTTTAAAATAATAAAACACAACACTAACACTTCAATACTTGACGTACAAGTAATAGGATCCCATGCATCTTTTTTAGTTGTGTTTGTTTTATTTTATATCCACTACTGCCGCTGCGTAATATAACAGCTGATTTGGCGTTAAATAGAGGGTTTTTTAAAGTTTGTAATCCGGTGCTTCGCCCACTTTACACCTTTGTTCGGGCATTCTTGACTTAATTCTCTCAGCCCCTCTTTGCACACGACCCTCTGGTCTCATGCCCTTTTATGGCTATTGGCGTTTACCTATGCTAACTAGGATCAACTGGCATGTGCTTTTCAATTGATGAGGACAATGGGATCCATCATCATAAGGACATAGGGACACAATTCAGAGGTGTAAGAACTTGGGAAGTAATTATTAAATGAGGCCCAATATTCAAACTAAACCCTTCACACTGCAGTCCATCTAATTTACTGACTTCCTGAGTTTTTCTTTGCTCCACATTCACATCCAGATGAATGGGATTGTTTGTGGACATGTGGCTGTGCCTTGTGTGTTGGAACTCATTGTATTTGTTCTCACACAATGACTGTGTCTCTTCTGCTTCTAGTGATTCACTTCTTTGTGATCTGAAGAGATGTTATAACAGCTGTACAAACTCATAAAGACAATAAAAGCATACAAAAGGGCCCGCTGAGCGAAGAGTTCTTAGGTTAAGCAAAGGTCTTCTGCAAACGCTGTCTTAAACTCAAGTGTTTCTGCGACTCCTTCAGGAAACTGGAACAAATTCACAAAATCTTCATGGACGAGAAAGATCGAGTCATCAACAACATTTACAATGAATCCAAAGAGAGGGCCAAGTGAGTGCACAAACTATCAATTAAACTTGAAATACTTCTGTTTCGTTCTTGTGATGCTTTAAAGTGGAGCGGAGTGTGAACGTGTCTTCTGTGGTTTTTTTTCAGGGTCAACGGATTCAAAAAACAGTCTGAAATCCTGCGACAGAGACATGCTGAGTTTCTGGAGAAATACAAAATCAGTAAAGGTGGAGAGGACAAGTAGGAGAGTCTCCAGCGGTGCTCTGTGATGATGATGATGATGATGATGATGATGATGATGCCAGCAGGTGGTAGGCAGCGGCAGACTGGATGTTGTGCTTCTTTTAGGATTTTTTAATTGTTTCTCTGTGTTTGTCCTCAGTTGTGATGCTGAGGGCTTGAAGAGACACAGAGCATGGGGTGTGATGTGGGAGAGTTTAATCTGGTCATTCAGGTGTTTTTTTTTTTTACCCCGAGGCTGAGCTGCACATCGGACTGGAACGGCCCGTTGAACATGTTATACCTAGGTCAGTAAACAGGACCCAGTCTGTACACAAACCTCTCATGTTTGTCCAAAGGAGCTCTAATGTACACTGAATGAACTCTCAGAAACATGGTATTTATTATTAGAGATGTCCCGATCCGATCACGTGATCGGGGATCGGAGCCGATCACGTGATTTTCAAAAGATCGGAATCGGGAGAAAAAAATCGGGGATCGGATTTTTTTTTTTTTTTTTTTTTTAATTTTTTTTTTTTAAATTATTTTATTTAATGTTACAAAACAAAAATGACCATGTTCACATCTTAAAGTCATCCTGAGGCCTTAGTTTTGATTTAAAATTACACAACATCATGTATGTGTTGCTTCTTTTGGGCTTGTTTTCATTATTTCTCTCAAATCTGGCAACAGAGTGGGCAGGGTGCAGTGTCTAATAGTAGCAGTAAGCTAACAAGAGGCTACGTTCAGCTGGTGCCTCGGGAGTCGGGACAGAGAAAATGTCAGGAGTTTGGAAGTATTATAAAATTGAAAGCGAAGGCAGTGTAACAGCCAGATGCAATGTTTGCAAGGCAGAGGTTCCGCGTGGTGGAAAGAACAGAGCTACGTTCAACACGACCAATCTAATATAAACACCAACAACAACACGACGAGTACACAGCGGCCACTCAGGTAACGGCACTGAAACAACCGACACTTTCAGAGACTTTTAAAAGGAAAGAGAAACTGCCCCAGAACAGTGAAAAGGCCAAAAAAATAACAGCCAAGATAGCTGAATTCATCGCGTTGGATGACCAGCCGTTATCTGTTACCTTTTTTTTCTCTTAATGCATTGCATAAAGATCGGATCGGGAAAAATAGGTATCGGCAGATTGTCAAAATCAAATGATCGGAATCGGATCGGGAGCAAAAAAAGGTGATCGGGACATCCCTATTTATTATCCTTCTTATTGGTGTGTTAGTGGGGCTCACAGATAACGGCGAATTATATCAGATATGAGCGGTTGCTAAGACTATAGTGGAAATCACTGAAAGGTTATCTGAATAATTTGCCGGGAGCTATGTGTGAAATAGGCCCAACATGTAATGGAAATGTGTTATTTGCTGAAAGATTGTCCCATTGATTGAAATCATAAATTGTTTAGCACATGAGGACGCTCCATAATGTTCTCTTAGGTTTGATGGGACAGTTCGGGGGGGTTGTTGTGAGGAGCATGAAGTGTACAAAGTCAAACAATTATGGTGTGTCAAGGAACATGGTTTAAATATGCCAAATGTCTGTTACTTTTTACAGTTTTGGATCTTTATCATCACAGTCATACTCACAGCCCGACCCTGTGTGTTACTGCAGAAATGCAACACCACGCATCATAAAAAGATCCTCCATTTGTTAGAAATGGAGTCAGATCGCTATTATGACTTGAAACCAGTGAGAACAAGTCTTTTAAATTTGTTCAACTATTGTTGTAATGCGATTTTAAAACTGCCACTTTTAAAGGGAAAGCAAGTCACAGGATATTTCATCATTAACCACTTCTCCTTTCAGTTTTAAATATTAGAGATTGTTTTTCTATTTTAGTCTGCCTTACATATTCCCTGAAGGGATGTCAGAGGGAAATTATTAAAAGATTGACTTTTTCTCATCAATCATTACTTCCCCTTTTTGTTCCGTCTCTTATTCAAATATGCATTGGTTCTAGTTTTGTAATACAGAACACATTACAGACATGCAGGCATGTATTTTAATATATTTTCTAACCAATACAACTAGGATTTATTTTTCTTTTAAATGACATTTTTAAAGCTTAATCAACCATTTCAGCAATGTCCTTTTTACATTTAGATTAATTTCCAGAGACTGGCTGGGTTTACTCAGACATTCAGATGTAGAGTCATCTTTTAATGAGCAACCACACAAAAGAGTTCTGTTGTAAATGGATAATTGGTGATCTGCCCTGCTTTATTATTCACAAGTTTATTTTCCATTATCCCAGCGATAGTAATATGAAATGTGGAGCTGCAGTTGTGACTAACTGAAAGCTGACTTAACATATATAGCACACAGCATGGCTATTTGCATATTTACATTCACTAAATGTCATTTTGGTTATAAGAACTTCCTTTGTACACAACATTTGTTGGCTGGTGACATTATGGGAAAGAGGCTTGGTTTCTAGTTGTTTTGAAGAATACTTGCAGACGTAAGGAATCCCAGAAATATTTTATGAATTGTGTTTTGAGAAGAGATGTTTCTTTTTTCCTCCTCGCTGTTCTTGTCACCGGCGGCCCCTGTCCTGAGACTTCAGCTGGAGATAACAAACTTCTGCACACAGACACCCTCACCCTCATGTGGCGTGTGAGTGCCCTGTCATAACCCAAACACACTTTAATGAGATTCTGGTGTCTGCATGCCTACACACACACACACACACACACACACACACACACACACACACACACACACACACACACACACACACACACACAGCAGAGAAATGACAACTATAAATGCAGTTTTATTTTACATTTATCTTTAGTTTAAAGAAACAGTCGTTCCCAAAATGAAAATACTTACCTTTCCTTTTTTATTGTCGCACTTTTCTATCAATTCAGATTTTTTTTCTCCGGAAGTTTTTCCTTATACGATGTGAGGGTCTAAGGACAGAGGGTGTCGTTTTCTCATACTGATATTCTGCACAAACTGTGCTGTTGTATTTGCTGTAAAGTGTCGTTACTGTAAGGTAATTATTATATGTACAGCACTTTGGCTCGACCAAAAATCGTTTTAAAAATGTGCTATATAAATAAAACTTGATTTGATTTGATATTGGTGTGACTTGGAGAGTGTGGAGATATCAGTCAGAGAGGTGTCTGCCTTCTCTCTGATAAAATGGAACTATCGTACTCTGCTTGTGCAGCTCAAAGGGACACAAACTGAAAAGCAATTCTGGCTACACAATGATTTAAATTATTTTATAATATTCACAATACCCTTTCCAAAAAAGCCTTTAGGAGACGATTTGATATTAGGAAATAATAAAGATATTCAAGTATTTTTCTTAAAAGAACAACTATCATACAGTATGGGTTTATGGGCATGGCATTTTGAAGATGCTGCTATCAATCCATTTTTATGGAAATATCAATAACACATCTTTAAAAAATGTTTGTTCCTATATTGTCTTCCTGAACTACACAACGTGCAGTTGCAAAATTGCAACCAGGGACAAATAAATAGATTATTGAATTAATAATCAGAACTTTAGGAATCAATAAGCCCTTGCAAAAATGCCAGCTAAAACCCCTAATGTTCAGGAATATTAGTGAGTAAATGACCTCAGTGGCAGCTACATCCCTGTCCCCCACTTGCAGGGGGCCCCTGGAGGCCCCCGGACCCCCCCACTCCGGGACCAATAGAGACGCTGCACCTGTATCCAGTGCGCCTGTCCTGTTTGGGAAAAGTTGGCAGTGCAATGGTTACGCTGCGTGCGTCTCAAGGGCAAAGGAAATGAGGAAACCGATCACAACAAGTAATGAAGACTCAGACCTCTCTCTGTGTCTGTGGACTATCCTGCTGCTCCTGTGTTAGCTGCGCTGCCATGTCAGTGGAGGTTGTCATTCCTGTCATATTTATAAGAGGATAAAAAAACCGGCAAGATGCGCCTGGAGGGGAAACGTCACATTTTCAGAGGGAGCGACAGTGTGGAGAGACTGTGACCGAGCCGGGGAGCGGAATCTGCGGCACTGTCCAGCTCTGCACGGCGGGATATAGCGTCGGATCTTTACCGGATAAGCGTCCTGTAGCTGGATGATGCGTTTTTTTCTGCCACACACAGGATTCTATGATCGCTCCACGTTTCAGCGGGAATCTGGATGATCCTCTGGTCACGCCACCCGGACCCCCACACCGGCTTTATGAGCTCAGCACCAATAGACTGACCTGGAATAAATAAAAGAAGCATCAATCAAAGTTTGAATAAGTCTCATTTGGGAAAAATTAGGATTTAAAGGTTATGTTGCCACGATTTGATAGGGTTATTTAATAATGACTTAAAAGTCATAGCTTTTCTGTCTGTATTTTAAAATAAGTGGAGGGAGGGGCAGGCCTACTCCACTCGTGTTTTACTCATTTAAATAGTATAACAAACTATAAAACTTAAGGAACTGACTTTAGGGGAAATTAAGACGATCATTCAGTTTCAAATGAAACAAGATAAAGTTATTATTTAACATCTGAGGATGCCACCCTTGGTGTCCTTTCAAGGAAGGGAGCCTGGAGAATGAAAGCGGGATTTCTGGGTCTTTAATCGGACACAGAGACAGTCGGACAAGCGACCTTCTGTTTTTTTTTTGGATTGGTCCAAAAAATATTTTTGAGTGCCCCTTTGGACTCCTGCACAATGGGGATTATGCTTCAAGTTATTCTAGGAATGTTTCAATTCCTGCTTCTCACCAGAATACCGACGTCCCATGCCAAGGTATGTATAGGCTATATTTGACCCTAAAAGACTTCATGTCTGAGGGTGTCAGCTTGACATCTGTAGTTGATTTCCAGTGTGTGTTGATGTCACTTAATGCACATAAAGTAGCCTAATAGTAATGTCCCATTTGGTCTGGTGGAACAAATGTGTGAGTTTTAGCTTTGTTGAAGTTATCCTCTAGGTCAATGACACCTGTGGTCCAGTGACAGCACCATTCACTATATTAATCATGAAGAAGTCTATAAACTTTATAGTGGCATTGTGGTATTTATTGTCTCCTCTATCATATTTCACAGCCAACTTCTATTGAGACACCCTAACAAAGAGTTTATACGTTGTAATAAATAATTGACTGAAGCTTTGTAGATCAGTGATTAATCATTCAGAATAACGTTTGGGCTGCCAGGTTATGGAAAATCGTGTTTTTTTTAGCTAGCATCAGGAAGGCAGGGCATTTGGACAGGAATACATTTACTACCCCTTAAATGGGGAATCTCACACATATTTTGGAAAATTAATTGATTTTCAATTGTTTTACATTACACCCACTTGACTGTTATTACCCCCATATTACTCATTAATTAAATCCTAATACAGCCCTGTTACAACGTTATTACACCCATATTATACCCCTGTTACACCCA